TCTGCACGCTGCGTCTCCGGGCGCCTGTCTAGCGTTTGCCTGTGCGTGTGTGTTGATCACGGGTGCCCGGGATGCTACTGTCCTGTTCCTTTCTGGCACATGGTCCCGTTCACTTGTCCGGGGGCACAAGCCCTGTGAAATCCCATTGGCTGGCAGGGCCCTCTGCATTTCGCCAGAGGTTTTAATGCAGCGGGTGTCTTAGGAGAGGCGGCGTTTGATTCCCAGGCTTCTGGCCCAGAAACACGAAGGTAAATGATGGAGGATCGTCCCGTGTGCGTCTGTGGTCTCTTTGACTCGGGGACGGACCACTGCGTGTTGGGCTCTCCTGCTTGTGTCGCCAGCGCCAAGGACTTTGTGTGCACTCCTGTGGCGTGATGCGACTGCTCCAGCGCTGCCATGCTTGCATGCGGTATGTAGTGGCCAGTGCACTCCCATGATCCACTCTGGGACAGCGCGGCAAGTCAGTTCTTCACCTTTTATAAACCAGGCCAAAACGCCCCACCACAGGAAACAATTAAACTGCTCCATGAAGTGGGCTCCATTCAGTCACTGAGCAGCAGTTGAAGGTGTGTATATTTCTACACTTCTCTTTCTGAAATAAGGTGATTCAGTGAGTATACTTTTATAAAAGAGCAGATTACTGCTTCGGCTCAGTGTAACTTCGCTTTTATTTATCCGAAGTGACTTGCATACCTCCTCTTGGTGCTGGGGATGTTAGCGCCCCCTGGTGTTCACTCCCATTCTCCGTGGGTGCATTCACTATAGCTCCTTCTGTGGGAGTTTTAGATCTCTTTGTTCATCAGTGCTCAGTATTCCCTCTGGCTAGCCCTCTAATGATTACCTTCAAGTTGGTAAGCGAATGTTTCCTAACCTGGGGATGAATGTAGCGTTGTTGTTTGACTTAAACGATGAGCCCAAGTTGTGGGCCTGTGATGGACTGGCGTCCCACCCAGGCCGTACCCTGCCCTGAGCCCCTTGCTTGCTGGGATAGGCTCCAGCTGCCCCGCTGGAAGACGGGTGGATTAGCCCACCCCTCGAGTGAGTCTGCGAGGTGGACGCAAAGCAGGGAGAGTCCAACCAGAGCCCAGCCTGGCCGTCTCTCTGGGCTGATGTGCTGCAGCTGCACCCCGATAGTGTGCTTGTACCCCTGGGTGAGTCCAGGAGATCAAACCTGGGCCGTGATGAGAAAAGGGGATTTTACCTAATGGAATCGTCCGTCTTTTATCCTTGTGAACGCTGGTGGCTGTTTGACCCCTGACCCCTTGTGCGTTTGTAAAGAATGTTGAATCCCGAAACTTTCTCCAGCGGGGCAGACATGTTTAGGGCCACACTGGGCTAAAGGGAGTCTGAAGTGGTTGGTTTTTCGATGAGGATCGGTATTACGGGACGTTTTTGAGTTTCTGCCTCATCCCGTTGTCCTGATCGGTGCAGTCTGGTCCAAAAAAAACCCAACAAAAGGGGTCCGACTGGGGAAATGTGGGAATTCTGCACTCTTTCAGAGGACTCTTCTCCCGGATGAGGAGAGCTGCCAGCCGGGTGGGTTTCCCAGACCTACGTCCGAACGGCAGATGCCCCGTTCTGACGTCTGTGTGTGTCTGTGTGTGTCTGTGTGTGTCTGTGTGTGTCTGTGAATGAAGACGCAGGAGTGTTCTGCTCAAGGAGCACTGACCCAAAGCCTTTTTATAGCAATTTAGAGCTGCTTTTATTTGTATTTTTTTTTCTTGCACAAAAGAAGGTTCTATAGCTTTATTAACTTATATTGGTCCTGTTCTGGGTTGAACGGAGGGCGTGTTTCTCTCTCTCCGTGGCAGGGCAGCGATTTTGTACTTTTATACCCGTCCCAGAGCGTGCCTCCGACTTCCCGTGATGATGATTCCCTTTCCCCCCGTGTGCAACCACTGTGTCTTAACAGCACCTTAGAGAATCACTTTTTCGAGTGTTAAATTGTCATATTAGGTACTAATAAAGATTCCTACGAAGTTATTGTTTCTGTTTATTTTCCAATCCAAAAGGGAAACGGGGATGTTGTTCCGTGCTCCAGGTGAAGGGTCTGGGAAAATATTTGCAAACCGCATGTCACGGGACAGCAGCAGGGAGAGAGTTCATATCCTGGGTATAACTGCTGTTGTACTCTTAAGCACGACCCTTCACTCGGATTGCTCATGTTAATGGCCTGATGTGTATAGATTTGGCCCTGGATAGTCACTGAGAATGAGGTTTTATTAATTTGTTGAGGTGAATTTCTTGACGTAAATTCGTTATCAAGCGGAGAATCGCAATTACCCAAGTGCCACAGTGCAGTGGCTCGCGTCTGCCCTCTGCTGGATTGCTGTGGTAAACGCAGACGTGTTCCATGCTATTGTTCCAGATGTGTTTTTACCAGTACGAACCAAACTACCCAGAGGTGTCCACGTTTCGGCCATGTCGCGCCTGTTTGGACGCTAGTAGATCTTTGGAAAGAGGCAGGGTTTTCATTTTAGCCAGAAGGAGCCCTCAGGCCTGTACAAGTAAGCAGCGAAGCTCTTGGTCAGAAATAAAAATGCCCCAAGCCAATTACATTGGAAGGGGTATGGGGCAAAACGGTCAATACTTCACGATTTCAGATCGATGGAAGGGCTGATGGGCTTTCTGCAGGAGTAGCGGTCCTCGCCGCTGAGATTCCACTCCGGGGGGCTCTGGGGGCTTCAGGTCTCCTGGGGCGCAGGGCGGGTTGAAATATAGCGCCCCGCGCAGGTAGATCAGCGAGCGTGCGGACCTGGAAGTAGGAGGAGGAGAGGGTGGGGCCCCCGAAAAGGCGCGCGAGAGGCACGAGCTGCTCTCGGGGAAGGGGGGGACACTGGCCCCTTCATTCCCTCCCCCCCTGCTAGAACGAACAGCCACCTGGAGGACACAAGCGGAAACTGCAGGGAGAGCGCCATTAAAACGGAGAACAGGAGGCGCTGCTTTACACAAAGGGTTGCGGGAGGGTGGAACAAGCTGCTCGGCCCTGTTGTTGAAAAAGGCTGGGGGTGAGTTCCCTGGGGCCAATAAATGACTAAATACCAATGAGAGTGATGGGCTACAATTCCTCCCCTCCTTTAACACCTTTCTTGTTCTCTATGGTCTAATCTACAGCTTTCAAAACCAACCCTGCGCCTTTGGGAGGCGTGGAAATATCCTACACTATTTTTTTTCAGGGATACTGGATTGTTTTCAAGTCGCCTCAACCTGAAGACACCTGACGTGTCTTCCATCTGCCACGCGTGTCCCCCCCCCCCACGGTCACGGTCACGGTCACGGGGCTCCTTGAGCCGGGAGACGAGCCCACGGGCGTCTCCTCACCCTGTCCCGGGTGCTGCCTCTGCCCCTCCTGTCCGAGCCGGAGCAGGTTGGTCAGAGTCCCGGGCTGCGCGTAGCAGATCGGGCGGCACTGGGATGGAACCCCCTTCCCGGAACAGCCCCACCCGCGGCTCGGCCTCTGCCCTCTGCTTGTCGTGCTCCTCTGCAGCGGGGAGCACGGGAGCGCCGCAGTCATGGAGGTCGAAGGCCGAGGTGTGTGTGTGTGCGACGCGTCCTGTTGGTTTCTCTTTCTGCAAAGCTCGCCTGCCAACCAACAACACGGCGATCCAGCTGGGGATTTACATAACCGGGCGGAGGAGGGGCAGGGGAAGTCATGGCGGTAGTTGGGGGGGACTTTTAATGTGAAGAGGCGGCCGGCCGGCTCCTCCCCTGATGTGGCCACGTGGGGGCGGCAGCTGCAGACGGGCGCTCCCTGTCTCGGCCGCTGTGGCGGAGGCGACCCGGGGCGTCTCTGGGGGAACACCTGCACTGGGGCGAGCGGGCGGGCAGGGGGGGGGACGGGGTGACACCTTCAGAGCTCAAAGGGGGGTAAAAAAAACAAAACTTGCCTTCATACGGCAAGCCGGAGAGGCAAAACACGCCAGGGTAAACGGGCTTTCTTGTGTCAACAGTTCTCAGCTGTTATTGATCACCTGAGCACCGCGGGCGCTGGAGGCCCGGTGCTGTCTCGGCGGGTCGTGCCCCAGCCCCCAGCGCTGCCGCAGAGCCCGGCGGGACTGGGTTTCACAGCGGGTCGGTCGGCCATAGCAGGTGGGAGCCCCGTGGGGACTCCCGTCAGGCCTCTGCCCCCCCCGCCTGACAGAGGAGCCGACACGCCTGGGGATCAATACAGCGCTCGTCCTGTTTGTCAGGAAGGAGGTGGAGAAGCCCAGGACATGCCTGGGCTCTGGAGCTGTTTCTCCAGAAAATGAACCATCAGCCAGACCGATGTGATGTGTAACAGCGTCCTGTGGGTGGATTCTTGGTGTAATAACAATAATTATAATAATAATAATCCCATCCTCCTTCCACCTTTGGGAATCACACTGGAGGACTAAACACTATTTCTTAATAGTCGAAGGTTGATCATGTGGTTTGATTTGAAGACGGTGTGAAATGGCA